GATTGCTTTTCACGGGGTACTCGATCAAATGCTTTTTCAAGGTCTACAAAAATGTGTGATAGTTGTTGATGTTTTGCGAGGTACTTCTCTTGCAGTTGCCGAAGGATGTGAATTGCATCAATTGTTGATTTCCCCGCTAGGAAACCAAATTGATAATTTCCGATTGTGATTCTTCTCTCAATGATTTTCTCGACAATTTTCAGGGAGTGTTCTAACAGACGTATACCCCGATTTGACGAACGGTTCTATGGATCACTTTTGCCTTTGTATAGCGGGACTGTCATGCTGTCATAGTCGGCATTGAGCAATTTCTCCAGATTTCACGGCAAAGTTGGATACCTGCAGTACCAGATGATTTGATAATGTCATTTGTGAGTCCAGAGGGCCCTGTGCCTTTCCATCCTTCATAGCTTTCAGAGCTTCTGTAAGGTCCTCTTCTGTCTGGAATCGGACCTTCGATGGGTGGAGCGTCTGTTAACATTGATGGGATTTGTTTTGTTTAACAGACGGTTGATGTATTCTCTCCACTGTAGCTTGTTCAAGAACCATCTCATTTTTGTCATTTTTAATATATGAGGCACCAACTATGTCTTTTTTCGTACGCATTGCTTGTTTTTCTATACGATAGAGAGATTTCATTTGTTCACCTTTGCTTTTAGTGAGCCACTCTTTGCCCTGATCTGTCCAAGCCAATGCAACTTGACGTCTTGCATAGTTGTTCTCACGAAAATTTTATGGTCATCAACAGACTTTGATTTTTGCCATTGCTTGTATGCAACTTTCTTTTCAGCTATTGCATTTTGTACACTGTCATTCCACCACCAAGTGTCACGTTCATGCTGACGTTTTGTACCAGTTTTCCCCACAAACTGTAGTTGCAGCGTTTATCAAAACGGTTTTGTATATACTCCAACCTGTACTGGCTTGCTAACTGTGTGGCGACAATCTGTTGAAATTTTTCTCGATGAATATTATTTTTCAGCTTCCACGTTTTGATTCTCCGAGGCATTTGTTTAGACTTATGTTTTGACAGTTCGACAACCAGGTCTGCCACAAAGAGTTTATGTTGGGCGACGCATGATTCGCCAGGTATAACTGACGTTTTTGAATAGCCTTCTGTGTTGTTGCTTGACAGCGAAGAAATCAATTTGCGTGGCTGATGGTCCACTTTTGTATGTTATGAGATGTTCCAACCTCTTTCTAAAATATGTTTTCAGTAAACAAAACTTGTGACTTTCAGCAAACTCAAGGATGCGGTTGCCATCTTCATTCCGTTCTCCATATCCAAAACCGCCATGTACGTTGTCAAAACCATCTGTTTTCTCTCCAACGTGGCCATTGAGATCGCCTCCAATCAGGATTGTTTCAGATTTTGGTATTGTTGAGATGGTGTCAGAGAATGCAGTCCAGAAGTCATTTTTCATCTCTTCTGATTCGCCTGTCTGTGGTGCGTATGCAGAAAAAATAATCAATGTTTGCTTTTCTATGCGAAGCTTGATCCACATGAGACGTGAATTAATTCTTTTAATATCCGGTACTTCTTGGGCTAGCGGTTCTCTGACAAAAATTCCAACACCATTTTTGGCCGTCTTTTGACCATTCCATAATATAGTTGATATTTTTCTTTGTCTGAGTTGACATGACAGACACCATTCGATTTCCATCGGGTGCAGCAGATGTCAATCCTTCTACGCTCGAGCATTTCTGCGATTTCCATGCTGCGGCCAATCAGTGATCCAACATTGAGCGTTAAGTACCATAGAGGGGCCATTCTGAATTTTTCTGCAACATCCCTCCGCTATTGCATACTTCCCAGGGATTCTTGGCACCGACACGAAGCTGTGTGCAAGGGTCAACAACGAGGAAGATGCGGAAGTACTAAGACAAGAGTTGACAAATGGTCTGATAATTTGCAAATGCTATTTAACTAGACAAATGTAAAGTTATGCAAATGCTATTTAACTAGACAAATGTAAAGATATGCACATAAAAAAAAGAACAAAGGCTTTCAATATCAACTGGGCAGGAAGGATATTCGATCTACAGAAAAAAAGGACCTAAAAATCACTATTCATAAAAGCACGTAAACATCAAGACAATACTTGAATGTATTAGAAGAACGGTGGTGAGCAGTCGATTAATATAAACTTGTATAAAACATTAGTTCGCCCTCATCTAGATTACTGTTCACAGGTTTGGACTCCAGATCTACAAAAGGACAAAGATATTCTTGAACGGGTTGAGCGGCAACAGAGATGATTGAAGGCATTGGAAAACTTGAATATAGGGATAGACTGGAAGAATGCGGATTAACAACACTAGAAAGATGAAACAAGGTTTTCCAGGTTCTTTCAACTAAAAAGAGGAAAGGATTAATAGGTTACAGATACAAGCTCTTCAAGGAGACAGAAACAAAAATCCAACAAAGCAAAAATTCTTCAGCAGCAGGGTGGTAAACGCCTGGAATGAACAGAGCGATGAAATTCTCAGTGGATTCAATCAACAATATTAAAATCAAGCTAGGAGAGATAGGATACAAGAACATTTATTTTGTAGTGGTTCTAACACAGATGCTTGTCTACCATTTTAATTTTTGTTATTATTATTATTATTATTCAATCTTTGTCCATTGTATCAAACTATGATCATTGTTGCCATCTGAACTGAAAATGTTATCTGGCTTATCTTCATTTAAAAAATCACTAATCTCTTGTTATGCTTGCATCAATCCACAACAACAAATTCGAAATAGCAATGTTTTCGGAGCCATTAAGGTAGAGAAAGTCACATCGTTTCGATATCTAGGGGATGTTCTGGATTGTACTGGAACAGCTGAAGCTGCCGTTCGAGAACGCATACGTGCAGCCTGGAATAAATGGCATCTCCTTGCCTCTATATTGATGCGGCGTGACATCCCACTACAACTACGATCAAGACTTTATAAATCTGTGATACGTCCGGTGTTGTTATATGGTGCAGAAACATGGCCAATGACAACCAAACTGGAACAACAACTTCAACGAACCGACATAAAAATGGATGCAACGAATTAGTCTGAAGGACCACATCAAATCAACCGAAATCCTGCGTCGTTCTGGTTTAGATGATATAAAGAACGAATGCTAGCAACACCGTCTGCGGTGGTTTGGTCATGTCAAACGAAGTGGAAACAGTGCCATAACGTCTCAAAGGCCGTCCAAAGTTTTCCTGGTCGCAAACAATCGAGCAAGACATGAAAGCTCTAAATTTAAATGAAATGAATACAACTGATCGTCTACTTTGGCGCAAAAATTTGATGGCAAAGAAAACAACGTCCTACCTCGGGGAACCGAGTCTCTAGATGCAAAACGAAGATTGATTGATTGATTACTAATCTCCTGTTAATCTGAATTTGTGTTCTACATTAAATTAATTTCATTATATCACTATTTTATGTTACGTTTAATATTCTATTGTATTTATCATCTGTTATCTATTTCTAACCTCTTCTTTGCTCCTTCACAGGTATAACTTACCTTGCTGATTCTGAGAATTTTGAGACTTGTTACATTGGTTATATATATATCTATCAAGTTTGCATTTAACTTTCATCAATTTCATTTTCATTTCATTTTAACTAATTAACAATAATGCAATATTAATTATTATTCTATTTAGGAACTTGTTACATCGGTGAAAACTGTTTATGTTTATATATCTGTCTAATTTACATTTAACGTTCATTTCTGTTGTTTAACAAATTAACAATTACATAAATTCTTGTATTGGACGGTGATTACGGTGGCCTTCACAAGATTATTTTATCTTATGTGGCCTCCGGAAATCAGATGTTTGATTAATTTTTTAAAAATGTTTACAGCGACGATCCAACTCGTCTGTTAGAATCTCGAGGTTGCCTTAGTCCTTGTCACAATGACAAGTTGAATTTTGACCAACCTATTCAAAATATCAAAAATAAAAACACGAAGGAATTATGGAGCAGAATCTGCACAGCTGATATTGAAGGAAAACAAGAGAATACGGTAAACCCACGAAGAGAATGAATGTCCCAGCAACAGGAGACTAAAAAACACTAGAACGCTGGAACAGTGAAAAGAAGGGCATCTCAGGAAACATTGCAAAAGTCCCCAGAAAAATAACGTCTATCAAGAGAACGATAACGAAAAAACCAACATTTGAAAACATGCCAGCTCCATGTTTGAAACGTCTGCTCGTAATTAGAGAACGAGATCTTGTAGTTTCATTGTTTTCATTGTTTTTTTTGTTGTTGTATAGTTGATTTTTTTTTCTCTGGATCACTCTTTCTATTAATGATCTTAAATAAGCATTATTGATTAGGAGGTTAAAGATTCTTTGTATTGAAATACTTCTTTTATTTAAATAAAAGTATTTTCAACCTCTACAGCGTTTAAACAGGAAGTGAGAAAATTATGAAAAGAATTATTAGAAAAAATGTTAAACCAACTATGTATTTTGAAATACTTTTTGTATTTAAATAAAGAAATGTCCAACCTCTAAAGCGTTTAAAACAGGAAGTGAAGAAATTATGAAAAAAATTATTAGAAACAATGTTAAACCAACAAATGGGCTGGCATGTTTTCTAAAAAACCGACTTTCGAAACATGCCAGCCCCATGTTTGGAACGTCTGCTGTTAACACAAATTTTCATAATTAGAGATGAAGATCTTGTAGTATATTAAATTTTGTTTTCATTGTTATTTAGTTGATTTTCTTTTCTCTGGATCAATCTTTCTATTAATCATCTATTAATGGATATTCTTTCTATTGAAATACTTCGTTTTTAAATAAAAGAATCTTCAACCTCTACAGCGTTTAAACAGGAAATTATAAAAAGAATTATTAGAAACAATGTTAAACCAATTAATGAACAAAAACCCTCAAACTTAGAAACTATTACACCAAACATAAAACTTCATCTTACTTATTTACCCAATATTTAACAAAATGAAAGTTATTACAAAATAAATAAAATGATATACTTGTAGCTTCAAATAAATTTTTTTATTGAACGCTTTCTTAGGAATGAAGACTCTAATATTTGGATCAATAGAAGATTTTAGTTCGGATTCACATGAAGAAACTATAAATCGATCGAATGAAAACGATGAAATAATTGCAAAATATTTAGGAAAAGTTGTAGTAACAATCCTTGCAATGCCATGATTATACAAATCTTCTGCATTGCCAAGCTCTGCAAATGATAATCATTAAAATTAAATAAAGTTTTTTTGGGTTTGTCTATCAACTACAAACAAGAAAACTTCATATTTAATGAAAGGTTTAGGCAGCATTTAAGTTTAACAAAATCAGCCCAACATTCCATTTAAAATAAAATTAAAAAAAGTTTTGTGATAAACTGCATTAAATTCTTGGTTTAGGGTTTACACAATCCAAAATATAAACAATGATTTCATAACAAAATATAAAATAAAAAAATTTATAACTATGAAATAAAATTATAAAATCATTTTTATTTTATTCAAGTTACAATGAAACATTCAATCTGCATTTATCTATCTTACAACGTAGAATGATTGAAGAATCGATGATTATAAGGTTTATGAATCTTCACATTAACAGAAAGGTAACCAGGTTTGTATTGGCCTTTCAATCAATCTTCGTTTTGCGTTCAGAGACCCAGTTTCCCGAGGTAGGACGTTGTTTTCTTTGCCCTCAACTTTTTGCGCCAAATTAGATAATATATATAATTCTGGAGAACAGAACTAGATAGAATCACTAAACTAATAATGGAATAATGGATCATGGAATTTTCATATCCACGGAAGAATGGATAATAGAACGCAAAGAACAAAAAAGTAACCACAACAATAATACAATCAACAATAGTAACAAAAATAACATAGTAATATAATTTAAGAATCATATGTCAACCGCTTTCGAACAGGACGAAAAAATTATGAAAAGAATCATAAAATATAACGTTCAAGCAATCAAAATACTATCGAGTATTTAACTACGAAAATACTACTCCAACTAAGAAACGCCATCTCTCGTGCTGAAAAACAACTGCACTAGTAAACCAGAATCGATAATGGATCATAGCCATCTAATATATTCGTTCAAATGTAATATTGGTGAGTGTGCGCACTATAATTCTGAATAAATTGGTATGATGACGAGTAAGTTATCGAGAAGACTCACGATGCACGTAAAAAACTGGCGCTATAAAGAATCACATAAAAGACAAACACAATACTAATATTACTAGACAAATCCTGGACCACAATCTTATTACCATAACAAACATTATAATTTACGACAAGCCGAATCAATACTCATAGAACAAAGACATCTGATAATAAATATTCAACAACGGGCAATTGGAATTCTTCCCAACAATAAATTTAGAAACAGAGAAAAAATTTAGAAACATTGAGAGAAGATTAACGTCGATTATCAATTTAACGATTGATGCAATTCACATCCTTCGGTAACTGCAAGAGAAGTACCTCGCAAAGCATAAACAACTATCACACATTTTGGAGACCTTGAAAAAGCATTTGATCGAGTTCCCAGTTAAGAAGTCAGGTGGAGTCTACGTCGACAACTCATTCCAGAATATCTTGTTCGACTTGTGATGGAAATTTATACGAATACTAAAACTCTCTGTGAAAAGGATAAACAGCCTTTGTGGCGAAGATGCTGCTTCATATCATTGGTTGAAGATATGAAGAACATAATAAAGATATATAGATAATATATCTGTAACATTGTAAGTGGTTCTGCGTATGTCAGAGCTGCAATAATAAAGATTAATAAAAAAAATATATATATATATTCAAACATACATACAATAAACATACAAACCTACATTTAAATCTTATGTTGTAAATGGTCTACGAATTATACGAATTAGAATAATTCTATTTATTTTATCTGTAGTATGCTTCTTCTTTGGATTTTTCTGAGTTTTTCCACTGAAGTCTAGTACCAACAGCAGAATTAGGATGCGTTTGACCACCAGTTGGTTTATATATATATGTAGGGATCAACAAGGTGTCTTGTTAGTAGCAGAAGTTCGTAGTAAGAAACCCCCGACGTGATTTGAACGAAAATCCGACGTAAAAAGAAATACGAAGATTCACGTGTAAGATCAAAACGAAAACAAAATGTTCCAACCAAATGATGACCCGATCGCCATATAACCTCTTTTCAAGAAAACAGCGTCAACAGATTGGTTCGAGAATTCCGAAATGCAATTTCAATTGCGAAACGTGATGTGTAAAACAACAAGATTCTATCACGTAATAATTTCCCTGCCGTTGGATATAGTTTCAAATTTGTCATTAAAAGTGCAAAGAGGAACAGATTACGACGCTCTAAAAGCAGAGTTATTATCAACGTTCAAACAAACCAAACCAGAGCAATTCCAAGAAAAAGAAATAAACAAAATTGAAAAGAGGCAGCCACCAGAAGAGTCCAATAAAATAAAAGTTGTCCTGAGCAAGAACGAAGATAAAAATGACATCCAACAATCACAACAGCAAAATGCTGAGCAGAATGCTACCATCCCATCAGCAAATTCACACATGAACGATTCTCTCCTTCCAGTTCTCTCTCTTCCTTCTCCTGTTCAACAGCAGCAGCAAGATCATCACAGAAAGAGAAAAGCAGAGCATAGTTCATCGTCCTCACATACATCTCATTCTATAAATCGTTTGCAGCTGGACAGATGGTTGCATGAAAGGCCAGAACAAAATTTGAACCAGCAACAAAAACGGCAACCGCGTTTTCAGCAACAACGCCATCATCAACATCTCATGAAACAAGATAAATGTCAACCAAATTATCAGCGAAAAAAGCAACATCATTACGAGAAACAAGTTAAACGCCAGCGATATCAGTACCAACAACCACATCTTCAAAGAAGAGTGAAAAAATCAAATTCAACTCAAAAAACAAACATTTTTCCATTTGAATGGCTCCGCCTCTTGCGAGGGAATATTGTGAAAATAAAATATCTCCAGCAATAGCAGTAACAGGAACCAACTTATTATTACCAAGTCGATTTTTATTCCCAGATTCAAATGAAGATATAACATCTACCGAAATCAAACAGCTAGCAAAAGAAATGTTTAAACTTAATGACTACCTAACAACTAACAATCAACATCACTCTACCCCAAAAGCTTACGTACCAAATGACCTTTCAAACAGTAGTCACGTATGGTTAAGAGTAGATCGAGTACGTCGTCCACTGGAAGCACCATATATACAGGCCCTTTCAAAGTGATTGAACGTAACGACAAATACTTTAAAATTGAATTGTTACCAGGAAATTTTCAAAATGTGTCAATTGATCGATTAAAGCCAGCTTGTTTATCATTACCTCTAATAGCCAAAACCAGAATAAACAACAAGAATAGTTCGACAACGAACAACAAACTTTCTACAACAGATTCAACAAAACCAGCAACATGAGACACAAAACCTACTGAAACACCAGAAACAGCAACACCAATATCAGGCGCAACAACAACACAAGAAACGACCGACGTCAACCACATCGGAACCAACAACCCAACACTCCAGAAAAGGGAGGCGAATAACATTCAACAAACGAAATGAATATTTTTATTTTTAAACGGCTCCGCCTTTTGTGGGGGAGTATTGTAGGGATCAAACATTCATTTATTAACTATCTTATGTATTAATTATTATTAAAGATTATAGCAATTTTCAATGTTACCTAATCTTTGATTCTCTCTCGACTTCTTCCTTTTTTCCTGAGAGCTTGTAAACGAAACGGTTCGAGATTCACGTGGGAATAAAGATAATATTTTATTACAACTGAATTGTGTTTGTTTTATTTATTTTAACTCACAACAATGTGTTTTGTTAGTAGCAGAAGTTCGTACTAACATGTATATTATATATAAAATAAATAGAATTATTCCAATTCGTAGACCATTTACAACATGATATATATATATATACCAACTTTGGATTTTTTTGAGGGTTTTTCCACTGAAGTCTAGTGCTAACAGCAGAATTAGGATGCGTTTGACCACCAGTTGGTATGTATGTATGTATGTATGTATATATATATATATATGTATATATATATATATAAATATATATGAGTTGAGCGCGAAAATAACGTAGTCTGTTAAAATTAGTGTCTTTCATTAATATTTTAGTATTATCTTCTAATATTTTGCGGGATAATTGCTGGTTGTGGCAGTCATGGTAGTGTTGATTTGGAGCTCCGATGTTCAAATGGCAGGTTAAACGGCAACAACTACTAATAAAAAATAGTCCCAACGTTAAACTAGCAACAACACAGCACAGCACTCCCACGTAATCTACCAATTTCTATGTCCTCACGAAGACTGTAGGCTTCGTTCATCTTCTTATATTGGAATGACTACCACAAAACTGACACGCCGTTTTAAATATTAATGAAAGACACTAATTTTAACAGACTACAAATTTTAGAATCCCTATTTATTTATATTTATAAACCTAATTTGAACAAACAAATTTATTCCAATTTTATTTTACCTTCATCACGAAATGTTTAATTTATTATTATTAACATAATATTGCACATATAATATATTTTATTATGTTATATTACAAAATAATTGTTTATTATACTTAATTTAACTACTTACGTTATTTAAATTTAATCGTTACTCTTATTACGTCATCTGACAGTTTATTGTTATGTTTTATATATATATATATATATATATACACTCAAAATTTCTTAAGAAAAAGAAACAAATGAAGAAAATGGGACGGGCTACAATACAATTAAATTAGTCATTTTTATTGAAACCAAGAAAAAGTATTAAAACCTTCTCCAAAACTGTTTTTCACAATATTCTGTATCTCTGCGATAGAAAAATAATTTATATGTTCTTTCCAAATTTCTCCATCATCACTCCTTAATATTATGATATCCCGGCTGTGATGTTTCAATGAAGCAAAATGAGGAACTTCAATAACAACAGGTCTATAATTTGTAAAAAGGCAATAAAATATAAAAATTACATTTAAGTTGCAGCATTTGCAAAAATTAATAGGAAACTTTCACTTTCATTTAATGACACAAATCAAAATTTTTCTAAATATGAATAGTGAATATACAGTCGGATCTCCGAACAAGGAATTTGATTGCTTCAAGAAAAAAATTCGTTATATAGAAATTTCGTTACACAGAATTTCTTATAAATCCTATAAGCTGAATATTTATGAAAAACAACCAGCTAAAGGAATATTATTTATTTATATTATATTTATATTACTATATTTTCGTTACTTTGCAGCATTTGTCAAATCGTTTTACTATTATAATTACTTCGATGTATTTTTGATTCATCATGAAAATTTATAGAACTTGAGGGGTCAACGATTATCTTTTCTTATATGTTAAAGGATAAAAATGTCATTCATAAATTTTTCAATTTCAATTTGTCGATATAGTGGCAATTGCAAGGTTGAGAAAATCAATTTAATTTTTTAGGTTGATGAAGCGATTGCTGTCATTGTTATTATTGATTATATTTTTCAATAGATTTGAGAAAATCCAGACAATGCGAAGATCGGTACGATGACGATGTATGGTTTCTTCTTTTCGTAACTAAGATTTTATAGATGTTTTATTGTTGAATATACAATTGTTGAAAACATTAAATAAATTTTGTGGTCTTGCAGTAAAACCGTGAACGACTTGTTTGAAAGTTTATATATTATTGTTAGAACATTTATAAAGCGCTAATTAAATCAATAGGCGCTATCACATTCATATTAGATATATGGTTCTAAAATTAATCTGTCCTCTTTGTCGGGTTTCCGTTTCTGTTTTATCCTAGGTTTGCAAAGTCGTGAAAAAACAACAAATACCAGTCTCCGAACTGTTTAAAAAATATTGCTACTTGTTTCGACATGATACTGTTACTATTTGTTAGAATGTTGATATTAAGATTTTAATGTAAAATACTGAAAAAAGTTTTAAAAAATTAATCAATCATAACATCTTTTTAACTTTCATCAATTATTTAACAATTTTGTAGGGTTAACATAATAGTTTCGGTTTTCTTTTAATGAGAAGTTTTTACATTGTAGGCATTCAAGTAAACTCACATGTTTGCATGGTTATGTGCGTAAGAATTAAAATAAACGTTCATGCAGCTATATTTGCACGTATTGCCCCTCCCTAGCTACATCAAGGCCGTAGCTAGGAAGAGGTAAATAGAAATAATTTACATTGATAATTTTTTCAACAATCTTCAATTAGGTGTTTATTTTAATGCTTAACCGTTAAATTGCATGGTAAAATACTTGCGAAAAATGCATGGAAGTTTATTTTAATGCCTACTTGTCAAATTATATGTTAAAATACATGCAAATATAGCTGCATGAACGTTTATTTTAATTTCCATTACATTATTTGTCTAAACCAGCCATCCTATTAGGTAGAAAAATTTTCCGAAAGTTTTCTATCATCTTAGCAAAAACTGATGCTAATCAACAACATATTTTCCATATTTCTCAGTGCATCATCGGATATCACAACCCTACACAACAGCCTATGTTGATTTGGCTCGTCGTGTGTTTGTTTGGAGAGAGTAAATTAAATTATCAAACTCCTATTGTTGGCTCTATTAATTAACTTTCCTTAATTTTTTATATTTCGTTTATCCATTTCTTCGGCTTAACTAGTTTTGGTTGCTGTAATTTTTGTAAGTTTTGATAAAGTTTTAAAACATCACCGTTTTTAGCTTTGGTTGTGATTGCGAGTGACCTAAGCGGTTCTTGTGTTGGTATGACCTCTGTTATTTCTCGATTTTAGGTACAAACTTTGGTTCAATTAGTGTAATTTTTTGGGTTAAAATTTGTGTAATATTGTAATTTCCGCTTATTATGGAGTTGTAATTTTGTCAATAAACACAACTTCAACTACAACTTATACAACATCTACAATTACCATTGCAAAAACGACCTTGACCTCAACTGATACAGCTACAACTATATCAACAACTTTAACTACAATTGATACAACACTATACAACAAAAAACTAACACTACAACAACTTCAGCTACAACTGATACAAAAACTACAACTAATTTTGTATATTAGATTAGAACGGTTTCGGGTTACTCACGAGAACTCTTATTCGATTGCAATTCGGATAGGCTTCGGGTCAGTAGAGAGTTGGGAGTCGTTTGTTGAAACATTTTATTTGGAGGACTAGGTATCTGAGAATGGTTACTGCTTAATATGATTCCATTGAAAGATAATGTGGGTTTGTTGAATGTGCAATTTATGGTGTGTAAGAGCGTATTGGTAATAACCACAATTATCGATAGTAAAATCGATCTCATGTTTCTCACAAAGACATGGCATGGTTTTCATGATTTGGCGCTTTCACTGTGTCCTTCCGGTATTCCTCTGCATTGGTGCACCGCGACTGCTTGGTCCTGGAGGTGAAAAAATCAGGAGTGGTGGACTCGCCTTGATATTCAACGGTGAAAAATTTATGCCACGTCTTTATGACCAAATAAATGTAAGCAGATCGCTTTAAACAGAGCTGCATAATAAAGAACAAAAAATAAAAAGTGTGAGCAAATCAAGGCGAAAAATAATAACTCGCAGTGAAAGTTTTAAAAATGATTGTTTCAGTGATTATTACATGCTTAACAAACCGTTTTACTATAGTTTTAATTTTTTTCATTTCGTTTAAGTCTAATTGAAAGCAGATAATTACAGAAATTGGCAACAATTATCCAATCCTCGAAATATAATAAAAGCCGTCAGTTCAAGTATTTTTATTTAATAATTATTTAATTCATTGAAATTTATTTAAAGTTTTCAATAAAGTAGTTCAATTAAGGCAAAAATTATAAGCAATCATGCGGCGTGATCACCTAATGGTTAAAGGCACTGTTTTGCATGGTGGCCGAGTTCGAATACCAAAAGGGATCCCCGCATATCACATACTTTGTGTGTGATGTGATACGTATGTCGTTGACACCTCTGAAATTTAGAAGAGTGTAAGACTTAACTTTTTAAAAATATAGAATTAATAAAAAAAGGCAAAATATTTAACAGGAAGCTAATTTAATAAATATACCCTTCAAAGGAAGCTCCCGGTGGTCCCATTTTTATAACTCTAGAAGCAAGTCCTTCTCCTTCAAGCATGACTGGAGGATGTTGTAGTTTATCAGGATTCACTAGCTTACATGTGACTCTGATAGGCTTACATGTTTTGCCTGGAGAAACTATAATTCGAATTCCTGAATGCCTCATGCCACACATAGTTTTTCCTCTTGCATCAACCACAAAACTGACTAAGAAGCTGAAAATAATAAATTGTAGCTAAAATCATAAAAATACAAAACAATTAAAAAATAAAATATATCAAACAATTATCATTGTTTAGCGAAGTTAGTATGAAGTTTTTTGAAAACCATCCAAACATTGGAATAGGAAGTAAATAAAAGGAAGATAAAACATGAAAAAATTGACAAGGTGCAGTTCAGTTTTTACACAGAGCATTGATGCAAATTTCAATCGAGGAAATATTTAAAACTATGTAAATAAGTTATATTATGCTTCTGTTTAAATAGAAAATGATCAAAGTATTGTATTGTAATAAAAGTTTTTAGCTGACAAATTGGAGATTCAGACCAAGAATGTGTAAACGTGATAATGTACCAAAAATGATTTAATGTCTGATTTGGTCAACATTTAGATTTTCCGCACAAGTCCAACGTAGCAACAACAACAACAACACACCTTTAGACGACATTTTTCCCGAGATTGGGGGTTGCCGTTTGGCTACCTATGATGAAACCGAAATACCCCTCGACGCCATTCTGCCGGATACTGAGGGCCATTGTCACTTCTGTCATCATAAGTAATTTATTTGGCTAATTTTTACGCAGGACGCCCTTTGTTACGCAACCACAGTTATAAGCGGTGGGCCTAGCCTTTGATGATCCAACATCACTCACAAGGCAGTGAGGGTCAGTTTAATGTCATAACCAGGGCAACGTAGCAGCAGCGGAAAAAAGTACAGTGCAGAAAATGAGTGAAAAAATCATGAAAAAAAAAATGAAATATTTGAGTTATAAAAAATGAAATGGCAGGTAAATAAAAGATTATATATTTTATATAATATAAAGGTATATATATTATATAATATATAAAGGTATATATATATATATATATATATATAATCTGTGCTAATCACAGGGACAAAGGCCTAGGTTATATAAACTGGAACAAGTCCTGAAGATGATTGAAGAATTGAATTCCCTCGAGAATGAATGGGAAAACTGTATATTATTCTAACTTTAATAAAAAAACAAACAATTTGGTTAGATATATTGAGAAATGTAATAAAAAAACTATCCAACGTTTATATATATAACCTAGGCTTTTGTTCCTGTGATTAGCATATACCCTAAACCCTGTCATTTCATTTTTTATCTCAAAAAATTGGTTCTTTTTCCTGAATTTTTCAATCAATTTCTGCACTGTATATATATTTTATATTAAATACACATGTCATATCATATATATATATATATATATATATTGTTATAACCGACCCCTTGAACTTGTAGGTTATGGTTATTTCTCTTTACATAGATTCTTGATTTCTAAACACTTATTTTAAATGACTTTATTATTCAGTGCCGGCAATCACTCGTGCGTATTGCCGTAGTCGATCACTCGTTCGTTCGATCGTTAAATCGTTAGAATACAGCACAATAACTAACCGACAGGTAAATCACGGAATACAACTATTTGTCAATAATTAAAATCTTCTCGTCAGATGTTTCTTGACCGTAAATCCTAAGTATCCACTTCTCGGAAGATTATCGTAATTCACTCGCAGGCCGCGTGACAAACTTTTCCTTGGGCGTTATCGCTAATTTGTTTGCTGTACGCACACAAAATATCTCTTCGATAATAGGACTGCTTGAAACTTCTTCGGACTTATTCGCAATTCTCGTCGTTGCTTGTTATTTCGTGCACTTCTCTCTCTATTTTCTCTCTCTTTCACTTATCGTTCTTGTTGTAGGTCTATTTATATCTCACTTTCTTTTACAATGCATCGACATTTTACAATACGGTTTTCATTGGCTCCGCCTCTTAATTAAATTATCAAGCGCTTCACTTTAATTTCTGATTACTAATTTTTATCTCGCCTTCACGTCTGTAACAATATATATATACATATATATATATATATATATATATAGGGTTAGAATTACTGTCTGAAATGTAATTATTGATGAAAATCCCAACCTGTTGCGCGTTAGTTAGATTTCTGCTTAATTTTTCGATTTTTCTAACGGTTGATCGTGAATGTGTATATGTATAGATGGTAGATGTGGCAAAAATTAAACCAACAAAATCGTTGAGAGCAGCCAACATTACAGAAATTCCAGTTAGAGGTCAGATCGAACAACTGAGTGAAGTTGGTGAACATTCTGGACCAGCATTGGTTTTAGTTTCTGATAGGATAGACGATAGATAGATTGGTTTGGGTGAGCGATAAAAGGATACATATCCAGCAGCAACGAATTTTGTTTAAAAATTGTTTTTCGGTCTAATTTCGAAAATTAATTTTTAAATGATAGTAATTGTAAATAAATTAAAGTTTTTGTAGTTGCCACAAAAGAAGAGGACGAAGGTGCCGTCGTCGCTTATAGAAGCTAGAAGCTCCACCAGAGCCAGAAGGACTGATGTGCTATGTAATTAAACAAAAAACTACGGACAGCAGTCATAATTTTGGGAAAATATCCGTCTTCACAAATTTTTTCAAAAAAACATAGGAGAATTGTTGTCAATAAAAATCCATCCAAACATAATTATATTTAAATTAACTGAAAATCACATATAGAGAAAGCTCTAAAAATTGACTACATGTTAATTGTTACCCCCATAAAACACTTAACTCAAGTACAGGGAGTTATTAAAACAACACTATTTAAATATTGTACAGAAGAAGAAATTATAGAAGAATTGGAAGAACAACGAACATGTCTATTACTATAGACATATTTAATATATATAAAAATTGCAAAAAACAATCAAAAGTTAAAAACCAACACTTACATAATAACTTTTCAAAACCCACAGCCTCCAACAGAAAAGTTTGTTACCAAAATCTGAAAATAGAAAAATACAGTCCACCTCCTATGAGATGCACCCGATGCCAAAAATATGGACATCATCACAAAATATGCAAAAGTAGAGAAATCATATGTGCAAAGTGTGGAAATCTAGGATACAAAGCACACATGGCAATCTCCTTACCATCATTGTAAACATAACCACAAAAATTTTTCAAAAGAATGCCAAAAATTTAAACTAGAAAAAGAAATTAATGGAAAAAAAAGACTGATAACAATATATATCGAAATGATAAAAGAGAAGTTGAAAGACATCAGAAATGTAATAGAAAACAAATTGGATACAAAAACAAAGTACGATATGAAAACAAGAGTCAGTAACTTGGAGAAAGTGCTTATGACTGCAGCCGAAAAATGCAAAGTAGGGAAAAACATAATAAAACCCTGGATAAGTGATGAAACTTGGAAACTCGTAGGGGAAAGAAGACAGTTGAAAGCAACAAAAAGACAAAACAACGAAAATGAGATGAAATATAAACAACTACGTTGCAAAATAAAGAAAAGTGCCAGAGCAGATAAAAGAAGATGGATAAACGATAAATGCGAAAAGGTAGAAGCACTAGTTGGACAAAACAAAACAAGAGAGGCGTATCAGCTAGTCAGACAGTTAAAAGGAAAACTGAAGAATACGTCAAGGATTATTAAAGACAAGGATGGAAATGTTCTAACTGAAGGCCAACAAATCAAAGATAGATGGTCGGAATATATCAAAGACCTGTTCACAGATAAAAACAAGTATACAAAGGAGGTGTTACAAGCTTTAAAAGAAAGAAAAGTAGTCAATGAGGAAGAAACGGAAATAACATTGGAGGAAGTAATGAAAGCAATGAAGAAAATGAGGAACAACAAGAGCACAGGGAGAGACGGAATAGAGCTGATCAAAGCGGGAGGACCAATTGTATGTAATGAGATGAAAAATGACTTTTGGGTTGCATTCTCTGACACCATCTCAACAATACCAAAATCTGAAACAATCCTGATTGGAGGCGATCTCAATGGCCACGTTGGAGAGAAAACAGATGGTTTTGACAACGTACATGGCGGTTTTGGATATGGAGAACGGAATGAAGATGGCAACCGCATCCTTGAGTTTGCTGAAAGTCACAAGTTTTGTTTACTGAAAACATATTTTAGAAAGAGGTTGGAACATCTCATAACATACAAAAGTGGACCATCAGCCACGCAAATTGATTTCTTCGCTGTCAAGCAACAACACAGAAGGCTATTCAAAAACGTCAGTTATACCTGGCGAATCATGCGTCGCCCAACATAAACTCTTTGTGGCAGACCTGGTTGTCGAACTGTCAAAACATAAGTCTAAACAAATGCCTCGGAGAATCAAAACGTGGAAGCTGAAAAATAATATTCATCGAGAAAAATTTCAACAGATTGTCGCCACACAGTTAGCAAGCCAGTACAGGTTGGAGTATATACAAAACCGTTTTGATAAACGCTGCAACTACAGTTTGTGGGGAAAACTGGTACAAAACGTCAGCATGAACGGGACACTTGTGTACCAAATGCAATAGCTGAAAATCAAAAAGTCTGTTGACCATGAAATTTTCCGTGAGAAGAATAACTATGCAAGACGTCAAGTTGCACTGGTTCGGACAGATCAGTGCAGAGAGTAAGTAGCTCACTAAAAGCAAAGGTGAACGAATGAAATCTCTGTATCGTATAGCAAAACAAGCAAAGCGTACGAAAAAAGAAATAGTTGGTGCCTCATGTATAAAAAATGACAAAAATGAGATGGTTCTTGAACAAGATGAGATCAAGCTACAGTGGAGAAAATACTTCAACCGTCTGTTAAACAAAACAAATCCCATCAATGTTAACTTTGATGCTCCACCCATCGAAGGTCCGATTACAGACATCACTGTAGAGGAGCTTTCTGAGCTTCTATGAAGGATGGAAAGGCAGGGCCTACTGGACTCACAAATGACATTATCAAAGCATATCAAAGCATATGGTACTGCAGATATCCAAACGTTACTATAACTTTGCCGTGAAATCTGGAGAAATTGCTCAATGCCGACTGAATGGAACTATAGCATGACAGTCCCGCTATACAAAGGCAAAGGTGATCCATAGAACTGTTCATCATATCGGGGTATACGTCTGTTAGAACACTCCCTGAAAATTGTCGAAAAA